AACTTTAGTATCCCTGGTTCAGAAGGTGCCCTCTCGTCATACCTGCTCCTGTTCGCTGATCCGCTTCATGTGATCCGTAGAGCTGATCCGGCTTGCTGATCCGATTCGTGTGATCCCACACGACCCTGTCCTGATCCGATACGTCGGGCCCCCCTGATCCAGCTCGCACCACATACTGATCCGTTAATTTTGAGCTGATTTGTGGGTCTACCCCCAAAAGAAAGCAAGGTCAAACGTGAACAACAACAAAAGGTAAGAAAACAAAACTTCATCCGTTCGCTGCATAGCTGAGCCATGCTTAGCATGTGTTGAGCCTGTCAGGATGGGGCGGGAGTCGAGGAGAAGGTGACAGAAGCAGAGGAACCTAAGGGCTTGAATAGCGGAGCTGCAGATCCCTCCAGAGCAGAATCTTCAGAGCTGGCAGCTTTCGGCCAGGAAGCTTCTTCTAAGGCCGAGGCCCGGTTGCCATTTCGAAGTTCTTTCCCTAAATGCTCGACCACGCATTCACTCTTTAAAAAACATGTTGACGTGCGAGCAGCCTTGTTTGGGCCAAGAGCTTCCTTGTGCGACGGATCTCCAAATCTCTGCGCCCCATCCTATTCCACACTCCATCCATGCCATCTATAGGAGTGACAAGGCCCCTAAATGCCCCAACCCTGAATGGTAGGACGAATTGGTGGCATTCCTCTCAAGAGGGTGTTCATTCCAAATGGATTTGCGAAATCTCCCCAGATTTCAGGCTATGACTTTAAAAGGGCTCTGTGGCAGATAGACTTCGACCACCTCCTTGTTGTACATCGCTGTACTGTGAATATTGTGATTACGCTTCTGTTGTTATGCTTGTGGTTGTTCAACAAAAACATGTTCTCGGGAGGGCCTAGTTTCTGGGACTTGCCCACGACAGGGTTTAATTCCGCAAGAGAATCTTTAGTGGTGAGGAATAAGGGGATGGTGTGTTGGGAGCCAGATCCAGGAATAGTTGTTTTGATTTCGCCGAGTCTCAATGGGCTTGAGTTTTCCGAGGCCCTGAGCTACCAGAGGGCCCTTAGTGTAAAATGTTCGGAGCCCTGGCGACTTTGATTATGCCAAGGGAAGGTTCTGAATTTTGGAGGGAGAGCAGTACTTCCTTTCGTTTTGCGTTCATGGTATGGTTATCAAAAATGTGGTTGTTTAGGTGTACATGCTGCATTTCATCTTGTGAGACCCCTTCTCCCCAACCCAGCACCGAAAGCCAGCCACATAATTTTTGCACCTACAACGTACACACATGGCAAGTCTCCCAGGAAGACCTGTGGGCCTTTCAACTTCTGGAGAGGGCAATGTACATGTCGGCAATGCAAATGTCATCGGGAAATATATGTTTCAGGATGATGGCGAACGCGGCAAGATCGGGAAGATTTTTTTCATGAATTGCTTTCCCCTCAGAGTTTACAAGGGTGAGCAAGTAGCACGATATTTGTGATGACATGATGCCTTGCGTTTCTTGTCCTGATCAGCGTAAGATATGAATGTCGCTTATGCCCGCAGTTTGAACTGTAAATCCCATTCTCCAAGATTGTTCAGAATTCGGCCTTCAGACACCAATTCTTGCCAAATTTGTGAAAAGCCAATGAAGAAAAAACGGCAGAAACACGACAAGATCTGACTGCACTCATGCTTCAAATGCAACCGGCCGTCTCTCTGTACTTGCATGTGTGAGGAAGATGAAGAGGAGGAGGCTGCGTACAAACAGCGGATGGAGGACGCAGCAAAGCGGATGTCTGCAATCGATGGAATGGACGATTTGTTGGCTGAGCTGCTGGATGAAGGCGAGCAAGAGGAGGCTCAGGAAGAAGGGGAAGAGGAGGTTCAGGAAGAGCCGGATGAAGAGCAAGAAGAAGCAGAGGAAGAGGTTGACGAAGAGCAGGCAAATCAAGGTGATGAAGTCGTGGATGCTGAGTCAGAACAGCCTCAAGCGGTGCCGGAGCTGTCTGCTGAAGCTGAAGCTGCTGGCTTGCCAGAAGCCGCCATTTCGGCCACGTCTGCCGCAGGGCCAAACCAGCCGGAGACGGCAGAGACGCCTGCAGTGCAGGGCGAAAGCAAGCCAGCAGAGGCTCAGGGTGACGAAGGGGATGCAGCCGATGAGGTTACAGATCAAGCTGAAACGAAGAAGCGTCGGAGGCGGAAGAAACCCAAAGAGGATCAGACGGATGAATCACAAGCGGTTGTGGAAGATGGCTCCGCGGAGGTTGAGCCGACCAAAGGAGAAGCAGGGCAAGAGGTTGACAGTGCAACTGTACGTGTTGATGCTGGCCACGAGGAGGGTGGCGGCGGGCAGGCTGAGGAACATGCATCAGTAGCAGTCAGCACCGAGCGAAAGCAAAGCCTTGCACCTGCTGCGGAGGTAGACGGTAGGCAGCGAGCCGAGACGAAAGATCAAGCAGCCAAAGAAGAAGAAGAAGCAACCAAAGCACAGACAGAGCGGCATTCGGTCAAGGTCGCGGCCACTGCGCCTGCCCAGCCCGAGGCCAAGAAGCCTGAGGAGTCCGAGGAGGCCGACCCTGGGCCTGGACCTTCTGCAGGCAGTGAGGCAGAGGAGTTCGAGACTTTTGAATGTAAGGCAGGCAATGATGTTCAAGAGCTTGGCATCTTCCCCGCTGCTTTTCCGCCAGATCCGGTTGAGATTTATTCCGTCACAGAAGGCTCCTGGGCAGCTGGCCAAGGCGTTGTAGCAGGTGATATCCTGGTGGCCATAAACGGGCAGGCAGTGCCGGACAAGAAGGACATGAAGCGGCTGATGAGGGAGAGGCCGCTGCGCCTGACTTTTCAGAGACCAGCCTTCGAGACACCGGAAGAATCGGCTGATGAGACGACCGCCTTCGAGTGCAGGGCCGGCCCAGATGTTCAGGACCTGGGCATCTACCCCGCTGCTTTTCCACCAGAGGCCATGCAGGTTGCGAGTGTCGCACCTGGGTCCTGGGCTGCCATGCAGGGCGTCTCGCCTGGAGATGAGCTTGTGGAGATTGGCGGCCAACAAGTCCAAGACATGACCGCAAAAGAAGCGAAGCGGGCCATGAGGGAGCGGCCACTTCTGCTGGTTTTCCACAGGGCAGACCCTGGGGACTCATCAGTCCCAACCTCTCCCCCCTCTCCCGCTCCGCGAAAGTCACGGAAGTCCAAGGCACCCGAGGTTGACGATGCTCTGACACAGGCCAGGAAGTCTTTGGCTGCCATCTTGCCGGAGGGCATGAATCCCCTCAGCGGTGCTGTATCGATCCTTCTCCGCAAGCAGTTGTGAGGAATCCTTGCCTTAGTCTCCTTGCCGAGTTTTGCGCTGTGCATTTGAGCCAACCATGTGCAAAGTGTTCAATGTACTCAGGAGCTCCACGCGCAAGTCTGGATCTCAGTTCCTCAGCAAGGCTGCTGTAGTGCATACGCTTCAGCATTAACCGTAACCATTCTGTGGCATTATCACGTGAGTTTGCACTTGCGTGATGGCGTTCTGCAGGTTTGATCCTTTGATCGTAAATTCTCATGGGCTGTAAATGAGATTTGATGATCATTTCTCAGAGGTCGAGAAGGGCAGACAGTGCAGATGGGCCATCCAAAGTTGGCTTCCAAGAGGCATGCTGCCTGAACACTCTCATAACAGTTGTACCTGCGAAAGTTCACTGGCCCCATTTTGGGGAATGCAGTTTCTTCACCCGGAATGTAATAAGTTCAAAAATGACTAAGACCCGCCCCCCAAACTGGAAGTAGCGGTGGTGCTTCACCCTTCTAGGCAGAGGAAGATGGGGATGGTTGGGATGACGACGACGATGATGATTGGAAGCAGCCAGCCCCTGCTAAGAAGGGCGACAAAGGTGGTGCCAAGGATAAGAAGGATGATAAGAAATCTGACAAAAAAGTGGACAAGAAGGAGAAGGATAGCAAGGCGGATAAGTCCAAGCAAGGTAAGTCTGAGAGTGACAAGGCCAAAGACAAGGACAAGTCGAAAGAGTCGAAGGAAAAAGGCAAGGAGAAGGCAAAGGAGCCTTCAAAAGAGAAGGACAAAAAAGATGACCCTCCGCGGTAGCCTTAGGACTTGATTCCGGTGAAACAATCTTACAGAACTTGTGCGTGGAGAGTGCTGTTTGCTGGCTGAGGCCGCTGATTGCTTATGCTTCCGCAAATGAAGTTCGCTTAGGGTTCAAAGTTGACTGGCCTCCGAATCCCTGCTACGTCAACAAGGACGGGAGGGAAACTCCACGGGGCTGTTGTTTTTGCATGCCAGCTGCTGCAGCTTTTTACTTCCACAATTTTGCGCATTTAACGGTCCTGCGTCCCTGGGAATGCTCGCGCAGAGGTGGACAGGAACAGCTGGGCTGAGATGGCTCAGGCGGGACCTGCCTAGAGTCAGCCTGGATTGGGCCGGTAAATCTACAAGCTCAAGCAGTGTGTCTGCAGAGCATTGGGGCTGTCTGGCGTCAGAATACGAGTAGGAACTAGGCTGTCCTTTCAGGCATGTTGTTTTGATGTGGGGCTGGCAAAAGTGCAGCGGCATCTTGAGGAATTGGGAGAAATACATTCAGAGACGACGCCAACAAATTGTCCTTTGAAGAGGGCGCACGGACTCCAGAGCAAAACGCTGCATTCCTGCGCACAGGGACAAACCTGTCTCAGACATGCAAGGGGTGGGCGTTGCATCACACCAGAATTACCTAACTTGTGACCTGGTGTTTCCATGTGGTGCATTTTTTGCCTGCGAACCGATGTGCGCAGCTTCAGCGGTAGGAAGGCGATCAGGAAGGCAACATCATGATGCGAGCATCACGCTTATGACTGCTGAAGGTGGAAGTTGGTCTACGGCTAGACAGAGCTGGTGGCAAGGACGTAGCCAAGATGAGCAAGGAGCCACTCTGGATATTTTGGCCAAAGCTACAAGGTAGTAGGAGGGGACGTTGCGAACGCTGGGTGAGCCCAAAATGCTTTCTCACCCCCTGCACCAGTTGCTCTACTTTGAGCCGGAAGCTTGTATGGAGTTGTCCAGCGGCTTGACATGCCATGCAGCGAGGACAAGTTAAAGAAGATCCTTGACGAAACCAGGCCGCTGGAACTGGCCTTCGTGAAAGACAAGGCTGGCTCGTGAATGGGCCAGGGAGGCGGCATCGGAAATTTGGCTACTTTGCACAATTCACATGTCATCAATTATAAACATTACTCCAAGAATTTTGCCCCCCGCAGTGATTCATGATTGACATGTGATTTCTCTCATTGCGCAGAAGAAGAAGAAGCCGCCTGCTGCCAAGCCTGAGAATGACGGCATGCTGGGTGGAATGTTCGGATAGGATCTCGCATCCCGATGTGGAGAGCATGTTGTCAGTCTCACGCTGCATTTCTAAGAAAGCTGCGTGAGAAAAAGGCCGTCCATTGTGATGAAGCTTTTGTTGGCGCACTCCGATTTGCTTTTGCAGTCCTGAGCTGTAGGATTGAGTTGTGTGCATGCAGACGCAACACGGACAAACACGTGCTCGGATTCATGGCTTCTTGCCCCGAAGATGCCTGTCCATTTCTGTTGAGATCTTGTCTGTGTGTAAGCAGAATCAAAAAAACATACAGACCAAGTTCTGAGAGTTCACATCTGAGACGCGCCTTTGAGCAAGCCATGGGCTTGTCGAAACGGCTCAATTGTCTCGCCCGAGTCGAGGTGACTTCGTGCGCGGCCACTGGCCCATGCACCCATGCCCGGGAGATCCTGGATGCCGCCCACGCGCTGCCATGCGAGTGCCGAAAGGGCTCGACTGTCTCTCCATCCTCTCCGGCCAGAGGCTGCAGGATGAGGCTGGCTGAAAGAAGGGTTGTGGGTTCTTCTCAAGCGTTTCATAGCGGGCTTTCTTTGAATGGAGCTTTCAGAGGGTATCGGCAGCTTCAATGTCAAGCCAGCGGTGACTCAGATTCTAGTGTGGTACGAAGCAGTAGCTTGTGGTGCAAATTACGTGAGCAAGTTCTCCTAAAAATAGGAAGGTGCATAAGAAGTCAGAATGATCTTGACTTCAAAATGGCCGCAAAGTCCTTTACCCTCGCGGCCCAACCACACAAGGCATCTGTCACTACACCAACCGTATGCTACCCAGCACAGCAGGTGAAGCTACATTGCAATCAATGCAGCTCAGTCAGTCCTCGCTTTGTGTGGCGGTTGTTTGGTGAGCGTGAGAGTTCAGACACTTGTTGCAAAACATCAGGACTTGTAGAATATCCTGGGCTTGTAGTGGCTGGATGGGCTGTCCACTTGTAGTGGCATGTTCTAGTTGATGCAGATAACCGTAACCGCGAAATATGCCAGTACACTGGCACAAGCAACTCCATGATTTGTGGGTAGCTTTTGTTTGTGATGATTCAGATAGGGAGGGAGGCAGGTCCCTTGCATTGATACACTTGTAAGCAAGACCTGGGAAGCAGTATCTGCTGTTTGTGATGACTGGGAACGCTTGCAGCTTGGCTTCCGTCAGGTCATGATTTCGCCGCTGGCTTGATGCCATTTTGCTTTGCCGATTCAAGCTTGGTGTTTTCCATCCTTCACAAAAGGTTGGGTATGGCGGCATGAGCCCGTTATCAGTTCCTGCAAGGCCGGAGACGGCGCAATAGTTTTGTACTCTGGTCTCAGCAGGGCCCGGTAATAATGTCCCTGTCCCCAACTTGGCGATTTGAGCACGTATTCCAGCACCAGCTTCGTGAGTTCTCGGGGCACCAGAGGCTTGCGGGCCGTGTGCGTGTGAGAGGGGCAGGTCTCTGTGCCAAATGAGGCTGGCTGAGGCTCCAGGGATGTCATCTTTCTGAAAGCAAGCTGTGTTTTTTCACTCGTCTGGCTGCTTGAGAGCTTTGAGCATGCCGGGGGGTGGCACGGCGCTCTAGGACTCTAGGCGTGTGGCCATTGCAGGCGTGCAACAGCTTTGCCCAAATCAAAGCAGTTCCTGGCGTTGTCCCAGATGTTTGTAACAGTAACCCACCCAGTTGAACTGAAGGGTTGGCGCCTTCAGAATCACAAGCTCTGCGTATGTTTGGCCACATGACTTGCAGTGGGCAGAGATTCTTGTGTCTGACACGCCAAGAGCCGAAAGCCGCCTCGCTCCTGATGTTGGCTCTGTTGAGCCTGGCTCAGAGTTGGTACTCGTGCTGCTAATGCTCCGCGCCGACTCCTTGCTCATGTGTTGAACCGCCAACCACGCACTATAAAAGTACTGTGCCCCGACACCTTGTGGTCTGCACAACGCTCGCCCAGGGTCCAAGTCGGCGTGCGCGGTGCCATTCGATGACATGCAGATGTCAGCCTATGCCAGATAGCAAGACAAGTCTCTCTTGAGAAGCCGTAAACAAGTTTAATTTGATTTCAAGCTTTCATTGTGCAGAGCTGGGTAATTCGGTGTTTGCCAAGTTTTAGTTTTGCCTTGCCGAAATTTTTAGATAAGATGGTTTGTTTGCATATGCGTTTTGCTTTAGTTTCACGGGCTGCAAGGTGAGAACCTTGCCTGTCACATCAAAATCTGGGCCTTGCTCATGTTCTCACAGTCCATATGTTAAAGGGGCAGTGTAGATTTTGGAATGACTGGTTGGAGTCTGTGGATGTGTATGCAAATTCCGAAGCCTTGCATCCTTGAGGCAGGAGAGTGCTCTGCCAGCGGCTGAGACCAGCTGTGGCAGCAAGAAGCATCTGTAGAGCCTTTGGTGCAAAAGCTTTCAGTATCGCCAGAGCTTCCAAGCACACAATTATTTCAATCAATGTCCTTGTGCGCGAGGGCCAGAGTAGGCCTGTGCCGGCCACCGCAAGACCGCTGCCTGGCAGTGACGGTTCCCTCTTATGGTCTCAAATGAGCATCGCCCAGGTAGCCAAATTTGGGTTTTAGCCTCGCCAATCCTGGCAGTAGTAGGAATGGGGCTGATCTTGAAATTTTGTCATGAAGCTTCATCCGCTGCCTAACACTTTGCACTGGCGAGGGCATGAGGCCGCGACTTTCGGTGAGGGCAAGGTGAAGAATCAGCACATTTCTTCGAGCCAGTCCTGCTATTCCATCAACCTGACTTGGTCGCATTGGATGCGTTTATAAGCTAGCAGGCCAACCTGATTTGAAGTTGCAACCAGTACGCATGAAGTGCTCTCTGCTGTGGCTTTCTGGCCTGCAGCGGGCCAGCTTGAAGTATGGAGCCATTTTCAAGAATTCCTGAGCCCAGTCGCTATCTGAGGCTTTGATTGGATGTTTTACTTCCGCAGTCCCGGAAATAGGTCAACCTGTGATGAAATCCAATCATTGTGCAGTTCAGAACCGCTCATCGCATCATTGTTGAGACGAGCACCTGCGAGCAAAGCTTGTGTTCTGGCAAGGCAGATAAACGGCGAAAACGTACAATGACACCTAGGTGATTCGTAAGTGCCAGAGCGATGAAACATAAATTCTTAATTTCTGTTTAGGCACATTCTGCAACAAAGTCAGCATAGACCGGCATAGACCTGCTCAGGGCCAGTGGTTCTTAAGCTGGCCCCTAACACAAACTGAGATGGCACAGGCAGCCGATTGACAGGTTCGAAACTTCTGAGCGTTGCAGCCAGCATGACGAAGTGTAGAGAGATGGGCTCGGGTGTTGGTGTGGGTTGCTCGGCTTCGGAGCAAGCCTTCCGCTTCCAAGCTGCTGTCCAAACTCTGCCACCAAGATGCAACCAGGCACTGGCCTCGCATTGTGGGACTGGCGGGGCTCGTGCCGCTCCGCACCAAACGCACTTGCTGTTCGACCGGCAGCCCTCGTGCAAGACAATTTTCTTGATGGTTTGTTCCCTTTGTGACCGGCAAAAGCCGCGCTTGGATATGGCAAATGTATTTGAAAAGGTCGGACAACGCCTAGACAGCTTTATATAATCGAGTGATTCGATGAGTTGCAACCAAGCTTAAGTTTTCACAGGAGCAAGAGGTAGGTGGTCATAGAAAGCATGGTGGCGGTAACAGTTGTCATCAGTTTTGTCGCTGATGCAGCCGAAGCAGCAGTCGAGTCACGCAGGGGCTTCCCTTGCTTGGTGAGACTGCCTTCTAGAAAGAATTTCTTAAAGCACGTTTTCTTTGATTCAGGGGAGCTGGGTGTAAAGTTTTGCTGCGTTTCTTGATGGAGATGTGAACTTGTCAGTGATTCCGCCAGCCCGAATACATTGTCTCCTTGAGCCCGGGCGCTTCCAGAGCTTCTGCCAAATTTGGCCGACATTCGCAGATGTGGGCACTGCTTTACAAGAAGGGTTCCCCTCTTGCCGTCAAACTGCTGGGATCCTTCTCAAAGGACCCGAAAAAAAGCGCCTTTGAACAATCTCCCAGCCCAACAGTCATTGGTAGTCACATGTGCCAAGCTGGCTCAGCATCCCCATCCAAAAGCTGCAAGACCCACAGCGGGCTAGATCAAAAGAGCTGCTGGCATCAACACCTACCTTGTCGCCTGACACCAAAGTCACAGGCCTTTGCTATCAGCTCCGATGCCCAGCTCACATGGCTCACCTTGCCAGCGTTCCACTAGGGTCAGCGTTGTGGCTTGTGTCACAAGCGGAGCAATGGTGTTTTTTTAGAGGCTAGCAATTTTGAGGCCGCTCGTGGAAAGTGGTGGGTCATGAGCTCCTTGTGCTTCTCGCCCCTGTCTTCCGTTAACTCAGGAACGCTTGTTGCTCTTCAATTTCCTATAAGTTCACCAGCTTTTTTTCCGCGGCCAAGACAATGAATGCATGCACGACCCAGGCCTGACCATGCCATTTCTTATCTGGTGGTTTGAGCCATTCGCAGTTCGCTCAAGACAGCAGAAATGAACAGCACAATATGTTCCGAACAACTCGAGCAGATGGGTCATAAAGCACAAGTGTGCAACGCATAATCCAGTATGGCGGGATAGACTTCGGTGTGTTTTCTTGAAGCCTTGCAGCCAGCGCAGATGCGGACACAGGGCAGTTTTGTTGGTGCCCCTACCTTAGCACATTAATGTGTATGGGATGTGCCTCTGGTGTACGCAGCCGAAAGAAATCTTGTAGAGAGATGTTGCAAGAACATGTAATTTCAGGACACTGGTCAAGAGGCACTTCAGACAGCGTCGCAAGTATTCGCACAACTTCACTGTCACCGCCATAAATGAGACGATGTTGCCCCGTAGTCTTTTGTAGCGCAAGCTTCTGCCAGACCTATCGGAACTTTAAGCTCCAAAGCGTTCAGTCAAATTTGTAAGTTCACGTGGCAAAAACCACAAAGTAAAGAACTCCGCAGCCCTGGGACGCACCACCTTCAATTCTCCCAGAAATTGAAAGTCCCAGCAATCTCAGTGTGAGGGAATGCCC